AAACTAGCCACTGAGTAGAGAGATGTGAAAATTGACAACTTACTTCAAAAAAGACTTGTATACAGAAAAGGAATACAGCCCTCTTTATGTGCCTCTGCTCCTCCGACATACTTCTAGCATATGCCAAATTCTTTACCCAGTTCTGAGGCAGTGACCTTTCACAACCGTAATATTTCTAACTTGTATGACAAGGCTCGGAGGTGTGTATAATAAACCGCGGTTATCAGGTATCATCTCGTAGAAGCTCTTTGTGCTCTTGGCTGGTAGACTGGTATAGGAATAGGAGATGCCATAGTTATTCTGATGGTCTCAAACATCTTCTTCATATGATACGAGTCTGGAGGTTGGGGGTGCCACAGTCCTATTTGATATTGTTGCGAGTCAAGTAAGAAGCTAAGATGGTGTGACGAAGAGCTGAGGGGAACTTTGGTTTGGATTGGTATTTGCATAAGTGTGTGTGTGTGTATGTGTGACTGTGGTACTTATCGACTTTGGGGATGGGGTGTTTCTAGTCAGTTGCTAGTATCAAATTTGTGGGAGACTGCCGATATGCCAGTGTGTTGAGCAGCATGAGATGTGATGCCGGCATCATCTCAAATCCAACAGGAACATTGTCAGTATTGAAAGCTAGCGGCCCCGCGTCGCCCTAGAGCTGTAGGCGTGGAGGTGTGAAGGAAGGAACGTTCTTGTGTTTGCTAGCTACAAGGGGAAACCACTTAAGGTAGAAACACATAACTGCCACACTTCACCCATGCCCCACATGCCTCTAACCCAGTACCCTCATCACTGCGAGGATAACCTCCAGTATGATACTATCACACCATCAGCCAACAAGAGCGTGATACAGTCTGTCTACTTTTGCAGGCCACACAGTGTGGGATATCCACATCAGGGCGTCGATGCCGAGCTTCGACGTCTTCCACATCGTCACTCTATCGGACCCAGGGTTACATCATATGGATTATGGGTTCTTGCAGGGTCGAGTCGATATTTAGCCAGACGAGCGGGAATCTGGATATGTATCCGTCAGTTATCCTAAGGTGGCCTCACTAGTGGGGTCGCCTCTACCTACATTTCGGAAATATCTTCATGAGACCTCTCCAGGATATCTACCTCTAGACCAATGTTCATCGGATCCAGAGCTTGGCCCCCCTCCAACAGGTGCCTCTCGTCAACACCTCCCCCAGTCCCCCTACAACCTGTTTAACAAGAGCGCATCCCCCCCCGGCAACAACCCCTTGTGGGCGTTGAGTTCGAGGCTGTGGTAGGTCAAGCTCACGTGCTTTTAACGTCGCCCAAATACCTCACATGAGTATAGGCCACACCCCATGGCGGTGCCAATGTCAGTGGTGTAGGATGTCTGTCATACCCCGTGGTGTCAAGCCTGCGTTCTTTCAATGTCCCCCTAAAACACCTCACATGAGTGTCCGCCACAATTGCGGTGTCAAGATCGCAGGCGTGGAATGATGGCCACACCCTTTATCGGTGTTCACCGCACCCCCATACTGGTAGTGGTGTCAAGCGCTCGCCTGTTGCAGGTCAGCCACACACCCTTTATGAGTGTCGCTACGCCTCAGAGTGGTCTTTGCAGGGACTCTCCCTGAGGCAATAATTCTCTATACATATATTTGGCACTGCCGTGAATGAACACACTATTGGGGTAGAGTGCCTGCAAGTGAATCAAGCTCGGTAATATGTACACATAAGCTATTAAGCTTTTTGAACGAGTCTGTCGAAAAGCCTGTATATCACCTAACTTCAATCCTTATAGAATAGTCTTGCATGAGGTCAATATAAGCGGGAAGGCCATCGCTCAACCAGGCATAGGGGGAATGCTTGATATTCACCGTGACTGCCTAGTAAAATACTTCCACAGCCTGGTGCAGAATTTTATCACTGTAGATTGCTGCATTTCCTACAATCAGCCCTACAGTTCTAATCATTGAGTGGTTGGTCAAAACTAAATGGTTACAGTTCGACGGCTAACCAAGGTGAGGTGGTAAGGCAAAGGTATTGGCAGTCATGTGATATCTCTTATTGCACAATATGGTGCCATCCCGATACTTGCACATTTCACGGAGACACACTCAAAGGTTTAGTTGATACCTTAAGGGCATTAAAAATCGTGGATGCTCTCCTATCGCCATATATGTATTGCGGGGGCATCATGCTACCGAAGCGCATTGTCTCAACCTTCACGGCTTCGGCAACCAGGGCACGAATGACGGACATTCTCTCATGATCTTGATCTTTCTTTTCTGGGAACTTGGCACGCAATAACAGCCTCAATATGATCGGAAGCAAGACTATTGAATTTACTTTGAGTTATGAACTAGCTAGTCAATTCTGAGATGTAATTTCTTTTAGCAGCCTCAGTACCAGCCGAACAAGATCTGAATTGCAGCTTACTTATTCTACAAAAACTTCATACCCATTTGCAATACCATCCGTTAGCCCAAACAGCCGCAAAAAATAGTTTGACCAGCTTAGCAAAGTCTGACCAGTCCAGTGGGGGCGGAGACAATCTAAAGGAATACATGTAAGCCCCGCATCATAAGAGATAGAATACAAACAGCTTGAAAGTACAGGATTTCAAGTTACCACAACAAAAGCAAAACAAATAATTGCATAATGAAACGAATTAAAACTCCCCACCAATAGAAACACTGGGTATTGGCCTGAAAGGAAGGACGCCAAGGTTGAAGGGTCTGCAAAGATGAAAATATCGGGTCTGGCTGGGGAGCCAATCGTGAAAGTGAAAAAGTATTGATGTAAAACGCTCCCCTTCCATTAGCTCAAAGGTCAACTCAGAGGCTGAGCAGTGACCAATGACATTACTTTCCCAGCCACCATCCCTCCGGAACCAGAGACCACAAAAATCGCCACTTTTACCAACATATCCTTTAACTGCATCAATTTGTTTCCCTTCCTTCTCCTCAAGCTCCACCTTTCCTCCGGCGCTTATGCTGCGCAAATGTGTCTCTTTCCTCCCATACACCTGCTTCTTTCATCAGTTTCTCTGCTCGTCCATTCGCCCTATACCATGCGGGCTTTGGTAGGGATTGTGCAACCAATGCCTCCAGGACCGGCAAACTGAAGGTTATTGGATCCATTGGATCCATATCTGCAGGAACATCCTCTCCTAAGATATCTTGCATAGTGATCAGAAATTCGCGTGGTCCTTCAAAATTAGCGGGTGGCGATGGTAGAATGGTCATGCCAAATAATTCGGTGATGTCTTTGAAGTCCTCCTCAGCGCGGTAAACATGTAGTGATGCCCGCAACTCTCCCATCAAAGGCATACGTAGCTTATCTTGCTCATTGAGGTCACGTAACCGGTTGGCTAAATCGTAAAGCTTTGTTGATTCATCGATGCTTTCGATTAGTATTTGCTCCGCCCTTTGCCTTCTCTCAGACCCCATCTCATCTTCTGACACCTCACTCCGAGTCCCTAAATCTGTCCCACTCCTTATGTGAGTTTCGGTAAAGCACATCACAATCACAATTTTTGTTTGACTTCCAGTATTCAGAAGCCATAGTCTGGCATCTTCCATTAACTCCTCCAGGGTCTCCGTCCAGCCAGCCTCACAAACAACCACTGGAAAATCTGCACCACTCAACATCACATAGCCGTCAGGAAGCTTCACCGATGAGCCACTCCAGTCCCCTTCAAAGCCAGTAAAGCCTAAACGCTATTAGTCAAATTCCAAAAATAATTCATTCACTGACATTACTTACTCGTTCCTGAACTGACAGTTGCTAGCCCATAGGCTTTTAGCAATCCTACTTTTTCAACCAGCGATCCAAACACGGTTTGCATAAAAAAGGCCTGCAATGAGTCATGGGTAGCCGTGGGCATACATTTTATAATTAATCGTTCTGAGAGGAAGTTATACTCGTATTGGATTTCGTTGTGTTCAACTATTTCTGGATTTTTATTGATCCAATTCCATACGTCTTTCTGCGAAACCTTTTGAAAGTGCATATCACCTAGAGTTCATTATGGGGCCTCCGAGGCCCCGAAAACTGCAGGTCCCTGCCCCAGTTCCCCGTCCTGCCCCGGCGTTTGGCCTGGGGCGGGGCCTATTTTCTCCTCCATTCCCCCCCCGGCCCAATACAGCCCCCCGCCCTGGCCACCCCCTGTACGGGGCCCCGCTACTGCTCCCACCAAATTATATGGCTGGGAGCACAATTGGGGTCACCCGGTAGCCCCCGTGCGGGGGGCGGGGCGGGGAGTGGGGAGTTTGGCGGTGCCCTGTGGCCGTAACAGGGCGGGGAGAACTTGCGGAAACCCGCCCCGCCCCGCCCCGTAGCGAACACTAATATCACCTTCTGACATTTCCCGGAGCTCAGTTATGTTCTTCAATTTCAGGTCTCTGATCGCAATAGTCGGTTCCATGGTTCTAACAAGGTTCCGTGGACACGAGGGAGGTAGGGGATCTTTATCACAAGGAACAAGGATTGGTAGGATAGGAGTGCCTTTGGTTTTCAACGGAACTGGAGGTGGCGGGGTTTTTATAGCGGGTGGAGGGGATGCTATCTTTCGCTTGACCGGTCTTGGTAACCTTGGCATATGTACTCGATAGGAACTTGCATCAGAATGACCATGGTACGAGTAGAGGAGACTTCGAGAGTTGCCACCGTGGCCACCCCCGGCACCAATAGGTTCCCGGTACCCTGAATTTTAGATGCAGTCCATTCGACCACATAATTGGATAGACAGAAATAGGGATTGGGATCACGTGTGAATGTACATAGGAAACTGAATAGCTAGAATGAGAACGAGAGAATTCAGAGGACAGGGAGCAAGGATTGAGACAGAGTTGATTTTGGGGTTCGAGATAGGATCGTCTGAGGTTTAACTTGAAGGTAGGATCGTAAGTTCTGAGCAAGCAGAATAGTGAGAGGATAGGGGCAGGTGGGAGGGAGGAGGGTAGTATACTCTGTATATACGTAAGCATTTCTGGCCAGAGGTGATTATACTAGTTCTTCAGATATCTGCTTTAATAACTTAAAATCTTATCTGATGGAATTACATGAAGATCCACACGTGTCCCCACACCCGGGCAACAATCCACTTCAATACTACGGCAATCCACCTCCCCTCAGCTCCACAAAAATATCTGCCATCAGCAACCGATCCTGCACCCATCATTCAGCACCCATCGCTCCGCCATTCCCGAAACAGCGCGGGAGAAAATAGAGTGAAAGTGGATTCCCATCCCACGTATTTGAATGGCAGGGTACCATAGCGCCTCCTATAAAATACATCTACATTATGTGGATCAGAATCAGTCACGTAATAGGCATAGACAGAGTGAAAAAGGTTAATGAGGCAGAGCTAAAGCCTCCCCTACCCGCACCAGTTGAGCTCAATAAGAAGTAAACGTAGGGCGTCGCCTTAAGACAAGACTGAGGTCGTGGATATTATAGTCCTGGTAAAGTACTGGTCAGAATTATGAAATATTAAGTAAAGGGACTATAAAAATACACTAAGGATCGCATGGAGCCCAACAGCCTCCTCTGCCTCAGTACACTCTAAGTTTTTCACATTATGGGGAGATAGATGTATCGGTCATTTGGGGCATAATTCCGAGCTAAAGACTTTCTTGAGCCGGCCGAAATTCATCTCCATGGAGAATCCCACCACCTTGTCTTGCTCGTGAAGCGTCTGAAACGCCACCTTAACCTTCTCGATCCGCTCCCCAGCCGGACCCGATATTCTCATCTTTGCAGGCCCTTCAACCTTGACATCCTCCCTTTCAGGCTACTCACCCAATGTTGCTAAACCCATTCTGGATGTTCCACGGAAACGAAGACTCTTTTTGCCAGCACTGTGGAACAAGTTGACATGCGCAACGATTTGATCTAGCTGAGTGGAGGATCAAAGAGAGAGTAGGCTCGACCAACCCCGGGTTTCCCAATATACTGCTCCTCCCTTTAAGCCACAAGAGGAGAAAGCCAAACCTCCGCTAGAAGCGCCTGGAGATCGCTAAACCATGGCAGTTCGGGTCAAATTGAGAGAATAGTGTGATAGGCAGAGGAGTCGGGAGATGGTTTTTCAAGCATGCAGTGGAGCGTCTCCTTTATGGCCGGCATAGTAATGCTATAGCACCCTAGTCTATGGTTTCTTCATAGTACTCGATTTCCTGGACACAGGTCAGAAATTGGGTACGGGAATCCGGCCCCTAGGAACTCACCCGATCCAATGTTCCATAGATTCCCACAGACCCCAATCCCCCTGGCGGTTCGCGGAGTATCACACGTCCGGATCCCCTCCCAAACCATGGTGTCGTCCTACCTTGATCAATGCAAAGCTAGGCTATATCAGCAGTGAACCATCTATACAGAGTAAAATATTCTTACTGCCAAGGCCTTAAGGCCTTCTTCTAGAAAGAATATTGACGTAAAACGCTCCCCTTCCATTAGCTCAAAGGTCAACTCGTAGGCTGAGCGGTGACCAATGACATTACTCTCCCAGTCGCCATCACTCCGGAACAGGCCACAAAAATCGCCCCTTTTGCCAACATATCCGTTAACTGCATCGATTCGTTTCCCTTCCTCCTCATCAAAAAATACTCGCGCAACACGGGAGGTAGGCTTGATCTTTCGGTCCGCAGTTACATCAATCATGCGGTATTTCCACGGAAATTGAAGCATTTCGAAGATGAGCTTTTTGGGAGCGGGTACAGTCGAGCCATCCGCGTCGGTGGGGGCCCATGTGATGAGCTCATGGTAACTAAAATTGAACTTTATCGCAAGATATAGTGAGGAAACACGATACTCGACGGGGAGAGGAAGCTCCCCCTCGTTTCGGTTCGTCAGAAGCTATAAAATAGTCTTTAGGCATCCCCACCGAACCCATTAACGAATAACATACGTAAATTCGATCCAAAAACTGTTGCTCATCCCCATTCGTGGATGTGCTCTCTATGGAATCCCGATAACCTCGGTTCGCTCCAGGGCTAGAACAGATAGCGTCTTCCCGAACAACCACAACCCTTGTCACTCGTTCGCCATTCTCATAATCGATTTCTTGCACATAAAAACCGCCGCTGACATCCTGCATTGGTCCTTTCCTTCGGCAAAATAAAACCGTATCCCTTTCATCCTCCCATATATTATAACCCTACAAAGTGAATCAAGCGCTATCCAGCCACCAAATTGTGCAAGGGCAAAACCACGGGTGAAAATACCCATTTCTCCCGGGCGAGAGGCTATTGACCATTCTTCCGGTGGGGGGGCATCATCCCACACCTGCAATTTAGAATCAAGGTCGCTAAAAGGAATGGGGTGGGGAAGCTCAGTTTCGTAGATTCTATCATCATCAATAAGTAGAACGAGCCCCAATTGTAGGAACCTTCGATCCTCTTCGTCCAATAAACAGTGCAAGCCTATGATATCCCCAGTTGTTTCTTTGCGAAAAATCGTTTGGGATGGGCCACTAATATTAGCTGTTGAAGCAAAAACCTTGTGGGTTCTCCCGTACTGGTAATCTATCAGGACTTCTAGGTTCCAGAGTCCGGCGGAACTCCTTCGGGAATTTAGCTCCCTGTCCCGCGGGTGGAGTAGCCTGCAATCCCGTTTCCATCTAATACCGCCGCCACAACATTAACATGCACCGATATCAATGGATATACATAAGTCCGGGTGGAGATGTCGCAGGTCCAAGGGGCGCCCCAGTCTCAGTCTACTAATTCTAAGAACCCGATGATAGATGATAGGAGGAGGCTGTGGAAAAGAAGCATTATTGGCTGGCGACCCTTCGATTTTTTTTTTCTTTACCCAAAAAATAGAGGACTTCCAAAAGCTATTCGATAAGTTGCGCCCAGATTCTGGTTCGGAGCCTGGCCATGCCTGAAAATCGAGCTAGCTTTTTTCTATAATATTAAACTTTGACGCAGGTTTCCCACGATAAGGAGCTAACCTTCGGTTCATTTAGGTTCCCTGCTGCTCAGAATTAGCACCTTGGGAAGTGCTTAGCCTTCCCACCAAGACCAATCTAGTAGGTGTAGATCATTAGGGGAGTAAGTTATCGCTTATGATGTGAAAAGAAACGTGCCCGGTGTATATACGCCCTTAACTTTACTACAAACAATTTTCCAAAACCTAATTCGAGGTGACTCGACTCGATAGGGCCCGCTCAAAATAACGAGTGACAGCACATGAACCAGCCGAACAGATTTTTTAAAATTTACACCCACTCCCCCACTCCCACTTTTCCGTGTTAACTAAACCAAGCTTATAGCGGTAGCTTTGTATCTACCAATAAATAGCAATCGTACAAAATTTGATGACAGACGACTTTTCATCTATTAGTCTTCCGCGTGACCCATGCTTGCTTGTGCCCGTCCGCAGGGCAGTTTGGAATAAACAAATAAAAGAGGCGAAATTCTTAAAAAGGAGCAGTAGATCAAGAGGAAATTGAATTTGTAAACAAGGAACCAAGCCAGGAAACAAGCAACGGAAAATAACAGATGAAAGCGGAAGGGAAAAAAAAGGAAACCTCTCCCCAATTATGACCGCTCTGCGGATTTGCTCTGCTGTTTGACTCGCTGGTCCACACGTTCCCTGTTGCGACCGACCAGCCATCTGTCAGTATATGTATGTCCCACCGCTCTGGACGAGAAAGGGGCAAAACGAACCTATGACCTCTATTTTTCAGATGGGTTAAAAAGTTCTCAATGGACTGACTCGGTCCCGGAGTGTACAGCTTCCCAGGGCAATCGTGGCAGCGGATACGCGGACTGTACTTGTACCTGACGTTGGGATTTGTCGAGTGCGGGGGCAGGGGATTGTCAGTCAAGGGGTCATAGGCCGTGTGTCGCATCATGATTTCAAAACGGTCAGCCGGGTGAGAGACATGCAGTTCGGCAATTGCGGCACTGAGCCATTCTGGCGGAGGCTGTTTTGTCGAGAAACTAGACGTCAGCGGGACAGCTCCTTTCTTGCAAAGGGGGGGGATAGAATATGGTAATTGTGCCTAAAGGGATAAAGGAATAAGTAAAATGATCGGGGTGACAAAAACGCAGTAAACGTAAACAGATTTTCTGTTTCCTTTTTTTTTTCCTTCAAGATCACGCTCACTTTAATAAGTAAGCATGGTATTTCAAGGCAGGGAATGTCGCTTTCTCTCTTTCTTCTGTTTGCGTCTACTTGCGTTTTGTTTTAGAGATGGAAGTTTCCTTCGCATCGAGGGGATCTTGAGCATAATGATTAAGGACCGTACCGGAGTATTCCCAGCTTCTGGCCTTGGGGCTGGAGTAGGAGTTGACTGTGCGGGCGTTGAGGAAACGGCAGCATTCGAAGCCGCCCTTGGTGCTGATATGGGGGTCTGTGGTGGGGGCATCGGTGACGATTGAGACAATTGGCCTTGCTCCGGCTGCGGCCGCTGTTGGGCCGGCGGTTGTGGCGCATGTTGCTGCTGCTGCTGCTTTTGTTGATCTTGTTGCTGCTGTTGCGCCTGGGTTCGGGCTTGGGCTTCTCCTTGTTGCTTCTTTGCCGCTTCCCTCTCTTCCACACTAGCGAGCGCTTCTCGAAGCTTCTCTTTTCTAATCTTGAGTTTAACAAGGATACTATCAGTGTGCGCAGGAACACCTGGCCTTCGCGAGAACAGGGGTGTGGAGGCCCGTGCAAGATGGCTGGGGGTATGATGATGCTCGACACGGTGGTGGTGTGCATATTCTCGTTGTACGCTCGCAACCTCTGGAGTCTGTGAACGACCGGTAGAAGCCCGAAGCTGGTTCTGGGCTGCTATCCGTTGCCTCTTGGTCATGTTGGCATAGCCTGGGATGGCCTTCTCAATTGGCACATCTTCCATATCGGACTCTGACGAATCATCATCGGATTCTCCGTCCCTGACTGTCTTAGAGGTCATCGTCTTTTTGAGCTGTGAGACCTCCCGAACCGCGCCGGGAAGCACGCTAGACACAATCTGCGATCGATGCGTCTTGGGGACTTCTTTAAGATCGGGCAGGCTTGGACCTCCCCTCCGGTTGACCCGTCTTTTGCGACGCGCCTCACGGGAAAGCGATTTCTCTGCGCGGTCCATATCGGTATCCGAGAGCTCGTACAGCAGAGGTGCGTATTCCTTCGCATGTCCTGCCGGTCGGAGAAGACCGGATAGTGGTGATGGAAGCATGGCGGACCGGATATCCTCATCGTCAATTGGCCGGCCATCGAAAGGATGCCCAGTAAGGAAAAGAGACTTCGTGAACAGTTGAGCCTGCTCTCGTATTGAGTGGGCAATCGCTGTAGTAAACTCCCCGGATAGGGAAAGCTCGCGCGTTAAAAGCTGCGCAAACTCCTCTGGTGAGTTTAGTGGATTATTGATATCCCATTCAAATTGATCCACCAATGTGTGCTGCCCTATGGTAATATTGAGCTTAATGAGAACCCGCATATCGTCGTTCTTATAAGCTGTATAAGGTAAAGTCGGATCCAGCGGATCATCCGCAAAGAAAACATGAGGATGGTAATCAGTGACCTGCTCCCGAATTGAGTTGGCCACCATCTGCACAAGCGCAGGGGTTAGAGGGAGGTGGAAATCCTCAACCAACTGTTCGGCAAAGAGTTCAAGGGGTATTGATCGATCATGCATATTCCATGTAAATGTATCCCGAAGCTTGATCTTCTCGTAGTCGATATCGAGCCGCACGGGAACCAACGATTCCACTATCTCCGCCTGCGTCTGAAGTTGCGATCGAGATAATCGCAGTTCTCGCGCTTTCCTCCCTCCCGGCCGCTTCCGTTGACATGGATACAAAATTCGCGATTTTCCATCAGTAAATCCATTCCCATAGCCTTGGTAGCCGTATCCAAATACCGCTCCCGGATTGACCTGCCGTTCGCGTCGAAGGTGCTGATAATATTCAACTTCGCGTCGTTTTGAGCGGATGAGGTTGTTGGAAGCCTCAGTCTGGGAGAATATCGCAGCCGCGTGTAGGTGATCGCGTGTGATGTATTGGTCGAGCAGCAGGGCTGAGGTTGATGGTCGTCTTTTGAGGGACCTCACTTCGGACGAGTCCGAATCCGTTGGATCCTGCACAGCCTTACCCTTGTTTTTAAGTTGCGATGGCTTCTGGTCCGGCGCGTCACCTCCGGCGCCCCCGGATGCGGATTTCACAGTAGTGGGAGACGATGGGAGTGACGTAGGCGATGTGGATGCTGCGAGCGACTCCTTAAGCGACGATGGGAGCGATGCGGCTGTCTTTGGGGGCTGCTGGTGGTCTAGTTGGGGAGACTGAGGGAGAGATGTGTCTGGCATGATGGAGGGACGGATGAACCGACTGGGGGAGGAAAAAATGCCGATGGTCCAGGAGAGACCGCCTCAACGTGGCGGGGGGAGCACGGGTGCGCGAGGCGATAGAATAGGATATGGGGGGGCAGCGAACAAGCAATAGGAGGGAGAGATATGATGGGATGGGATGGCCGAAATTAAGCTTCCGTGCCGGGAAGAGTATCTGGTATGCGGAAGACGGAGGGCTGAGGGCAGAGAGCGTAGTATCCGCAGATTCGGTCGGAGGAAAGGGGATGAATGCGGGTGGACGAGATTTGAAAATAGGGAGAAAGGGAGAGGGCGAGGAGAAAAGCGGAAGGGAGAGGCGACAACGGACCGATTGGGCGAGAGATCTGAGGAAGCTAGCGCAATGAAGCAATGTAACGTCGAGGGGACGGACCGAGAAAGCACCAATGCAAAAATGTCTGGACAATCTTTCGAACGGTCAAAAATGGAGAGTACAAGTAAAATGAGAGAAGCAGCTTGCCGTATGATAGTCTAAAAATGCGTCAAATATGATACCGTATCCCGAGTTCATATCATAAGGAATAACGATAACTTTAAGAGAAGGGTGATGGGTTGTTAGGGGCTGGGTTACCGTACTCGCACAAGCAAAGTGCCGGCAAGCCCTGGCTGGACGATGGGGAGGCTCAACCCACGCAGAATCGTGCCCTAAGGGTGCCCTTTCCCTATCTCTTTACTCGAGTAATTATGGGAGATATCATGTGTGCCGGAGGTCACTACTCGTACCGGTACTGCATCATACTGAGGCACCGTGCGATCCCAACCACTGCTCGAGAACCCCATGTTCCCCCTGTACCCGTAGAGAAGTTGCTACTGTATGGGGTGGAGCTACTCGTACATCATAAAAGGGTTTCCCAGTGATAGAAGCTGCACCAAACGGGTTCCCACCGTACCCGCGGAACTGCGTATGATACTGGCACTGGGACCGTGGGCCGCGGTACTAGTACTGGTACTCCCTTCCTCTCCCTCCTGCCTCCTGCGGTTGTCAACTCAAGGGTCCTGTCTTCTCTATCTCAGGGCATTATCTACGCCAACCTGATATGATATATGTGTTTCATCAGCCCTCCGATCTCCACTTGTCCCCTTGCCCTCGAATCCCCCCCCCCTCCACCACATCCTCTCACCATCAGAATCTCAGGTCGCCCACCGTCCCACAGCCCTGCTTGGTTTTAGGGGTCCGTGCACCCTCCCGCCATGAAAGCCAGCCGAGACAACGATCCTCGGGAGGGATTAAGGAGAATTTATTTTGGAATGGACGGAAGATTCTTGGAGGCGAGAAAAGGGCCTACGGGAGGTTTTCTCGTTGGCTAGAAGCTAATCTATAACCATGCCCATGCCTTGTGGTGATGGGGGAAGCACGGTAGGTGATGGGCCTGAGGTTTTTTTTTCGGTGGTGCCTCTAGCGATGTTGTGTCCCATCTTCTCCTCCCCCTCTTGCCCTCTTCCTCCACGGTTAATCCTGCTCCTCTTCTGCCCCTTTTTAATCGCGTACGACACGGTACCTCATTCAAGGCGACAGAGAGGAGAGGGAACATGGCGAAACTGGTTCTTCTTCCCGATGCTCGTACAGTACCGTACCCTGATGGCCTCCCGTCATCTCGACTGTGGCAGATTCATCCAATTTCAGCACTGGTATTAACTCCACACAACAACAACCTCCATTCCCAGGGATCAACACAACTCAACTTTGAGAAATAACTCATTCTCCAACCGTCTAATCTAGCCTGAACTCTTCCTTCATCCGATAACTACCGGTAGTCTTGCAAACATTCCCTCCCTCGATCACGGAGCGCGGGCAGCTTAAGAAAAGAAGCAAATTGACAGCTGACATTTCCCTTGGCGACACAAGGTCACTCAGCGTCATCCGTGCCTCACTCGGAAGAAAAAACAAACAAGCAAACTTGCTCATTAGATCCCACCAAGCCCTGGACCGCGATGGCTGCATGATGGGGGTTAGGGTGTGTCTGGGGCTCTCTGGAATACCGGTACGCTACTACGAGTACCGATACGCATCTCGACCTACCGGTATTGGAGCGGCACACATGAGTGCCGACGCAGCAGCTGACACGCGATGATACCAACACCACATTTTAAGCGTGACCGTTACTAGACTAGGAATCCTTTGCACAAACTAGGATCCCTTACGGACAATTCTTAATCACGAATGGCGGCTTATCCCCCCATCCCTAGATTCCCTTCCTCTTCCTATGGTCATGTGATCTCGTTCTATACACTGGAACAGCTAGTTCCCTGCTTACTGCCGTTGCTGGAGCCTGTATTTTCGCACCGGACACGGGATCTGTCGGCAAGTTGAGCAGCATTTGTAAATAAACACCGAGTCCTGCAACCTATCTGTCTATTAGGCCAATTCTCCAGCCATATCGAGGCTGCCAACTAAGTTTCCCGCTACACACCTGCTTTCAATGGGAGAGGGGAGCGGGGAGCTTATAGCTTTGCTAACATCGCTTGAGAACACGGACGCCCTAGCATCCTGTGCGGTAGTGAATACTGGATCCACTACGGCGGAATGTCTCCCTCCAGGGCCCGCAGCGGGCACCGACTGACAACCTAGTGTGTTCCTGCAACGATTCCGGACGTGGCCCTACTCCCGTTGTTGTCGAGAACTTTCGCTGCGATTAGGGATGGTTTCATTGCTTTTCCAACGCCATACGTCGTCCCTCCAACAAAACTCGCCACCCCCGCCTCGTGGCCTACCCGTCGACATTCCAGGGCTTGTAGTGGTATAACCCTAATATGCTTGCCCACCCAACTCCTGCTGTGCCATAAACACGCACATTCCCGGACTCGATTCGGTGGGATACCCGGTGATGGCCCAACGATGCAAGTGTCTGCGCTACTCTTGCTCCAAGCACTAGAGCTGATGCTAGGCCCACGAGGCGTGCGGTGTGGATCCGGCTCTAGATAGGGCTTGCCGGGGTTTGTGGCTATCTCCGCGATTCCCTCGCGGGGGAGCTATTAGTTTAGGCGTTTGAAGTCTACGTGCTTTCGAAGGTTTTGATAGTGGAAGAGAAATCCGACCTCCAAGTGGCGGTATGGGTTCGTAGGTTCGCATCTAGCCTTGGAATTACTTTGTAGACGTCCCGGATTATGTCTTTGTCGGTAGCGGCCGTTGCGGGGGATGCGAGGCCCGTGATGAGGGATGGACAGAGGAGGGGGGAGGTGTACATGGCTAGTGAAGGTCATTGTTGTGGCATCGGTGGGGATGCCAGTGATTTTCTATGATTGGGAAGGGGGTTTAGAGTTTTGTTATGTATGATATCATATCACACTATAGCGTGCTCTTCTGCGTGACGGGAGGCAGGGCTGTTTGACACTTTTCGTGCGCACTGTGGTGCCAAAACGGTTGCGTAGGAGACATCATGGATAAATAGTTGTGGCCGGGGTCTCGGAAACGTAATGAAGCTAGTGCTATCCACCGTCCCGGCCGCGCCTTAAGTTCTTGACATCGGAACCTCTTAGAGTCTCGTGTGTATTGGATACGATTCAATTCAATTCAATTCAATTCAGCGTGCGGAGGGAGAATTGTTCCCCCGCTACGTCAACTACTAAACCGGCCACCTCAGGCAGATAAGAAATCTCTCGGGGGCTTTACCTTTCAACCTGGACGGGGTTGTGATATGCGAGTAGGTTTGGTTGGCTGGCGGGCGGGAGGATCCTGTTGGTGCATAGGGGATCACTCGGTTAATAACTTGATTCTTAGGCTTTAACATACTAGCAGGTCAGGATTTACGCGTCGTATGGTATGATACTTGTACTCAGCCCCCACCTCCATATACGACATTGACTCGCCATCCAACAAAGAATACGCACCCGTGGGTAGTAGGATACCCTTCACTTCCAACCCCCCGCATATATACCCCCATAAACACCAAGCCCACCATGCCTACAATACCGTACCCCCCCCCCCCTTCCCTCATTCACGATTGTTCAGCCCCACTTATTTCCTCCCCGCCATAAACTCCTATACTTGCCAACCAGAGCTGGCAGGGCTCCCACACGGCACGGCCACAAATCACAAACTGGAAAGTCTTCCAACCACTCGTAGCGTGATGAAGTTCAGCTAGAGCGCATCATCCAACGGACACCCAGACCACCCGACCACCTCCCGGAAATACCGGAGGGGGTGTGGCTTTCTTTGAGCCTAGTGCTGTGTATTGGGTGGTCTTAATGCCGCCTTGTCACCGTGATACGGATATATATTCAGCTGGAATGACCTAACGTGCTCTGCTGCAGGGTAGGTTTCGGACCCGCGCATGCTTTCGATCGTGGGTTATCTTGCAGAATCATGGCGGGGTTGCTATCGGTGTGTTTTTGGAGATAGGCAGGGGGTTATCGAGTCTGGTTTTACATGGTTGGGGATTGATCTTTTTGTTTTTTCGGGTCTGTGTCTGTAACTTAGGTGGTTATGCTGGCTATGCCTGTATCGGAGTTTAGGGTAGGAACCTAAATCGGGACATCGTTGGTGGCGGGAAGTCTGGGCTTGCGTTTCGGGCACAAGTCTGAGATATTTTGCACGGCCTCAGATTGCCGTACTCTGTAATAGACTTCATATCTATATCCGGGGTCAGCTCTGGATATCTTGTTATGGGAATACAGTAGTGCACATTTGCGACAGAGTCTAGAGCCATTTTGCAAAATTATTTCGAAGCGTAACACGACCAAAGAATGAGTACCATACATTCCGAGTGATTGGGTGTTTAGCGGAAAAAACATTAAGTACGTTAAAAGCATTAAAATGTACGTGCGACTAATCCATCCGAGGAAGAAAAACTCCCGAAGCCACAGATAACAAATCTCACCCCGGGGGTCTCTGTGCGTTAAACCTTCTCGCACTCTCCCGTTGCGCCTCCAACTTCTTCTGTCTCTTTGTCTTCTTCCCCTCAGGAGCCATATCGGCTCCTCCGGTGTCTCCCGAAGAGCCGGCAGGTTCCCTCGAACTAAACATGTCGCTGAATTCAGGATCGTCCTCCATCATATTTTCCAACCCCATCGCGATAATCAGATCATTCTCCGGATCGCCAGTTTGCGTAAAACCGTACTTATTCGCCACCTGTCGAGCAGCATACTCTTTCAAGAGACTTCGCCCCCCAGCTTCGTACCTTTCCCTATTCCCCTTGACCCAGTCGCTTTCTGGCTCCATAGGCGCACTTGGCCTCCCAGCTTCCTGCCTTTCCCTATTCGTCTTCACCCAGTCGCTTTCGATCTCTACAAGCGCGAGTTAATTAACGAGTTTATTTGTGTGACTCACCCCGCACTGCCGCCATCATAGCCTACTCACCTCTCTCGTCATCCTCCTGAGAACGGCTCGCGTCGTTCCTTTGGAACGCCTCGAGGATATTATCTCCTTCCTTGAGGTCATCAGGCGTCATGCCCAATCCGTAGGCAGCCTGGAAATTGGTGCGGCTACCCCAGCTGTCTTTCACGATTTTGTACTTGCTAGTAGGCATGGAGGAGGATTCGGGATTCCGATGACTACGCCTCAACGTTAATAGATCTTGATAGGCACGTCCTGCGAACCACGTTTTAGGAGAAGGACGAACCTCAAGAAGGAAGCCTTTTTGGTATTGGATTTAACGAATCAGTTGCCCAGTTGAGAGGTGTTGGGGTTACAAAAGGAGGAAGGCTGGGAGAAGGGAGAATCACTCTTATCGTAAAGTGGGGCTGGCTGCCTAAAGGGAGGGGTAAGCGTGGTGCGGATGCGGGGACAGGCCGCAACCAAGCCAGACGGCACGAGCGTACTCCCCCCCCCCCCAAGTACCGGCACACTGAAGGAAAAACGCAGCACTATGCAGATAGTCACGTGGGTGCAACCACTGCCTGCCTGCCAGTCGGGCCATGGTATATGACGGAGTCGCCAAAGTGACCCCTTAGGACTTTGTTATCTCTGTCTTAATGGTAGCCCGGAACAATTGCTACTGCAGGTGTGCCTCTAAGCTACTATCCATTTGGGAAACCCCAGCCCACATTTTTCCATGCTTTGGCCCCCTTGAGAGGCCGCAATATTAAGCTGCTCTAATTGGAGCAGCCGGTCATTCCTCGATTATATAACTTCCCATAGCTTGACGGTTGGTTTGGTGGGGGGGGCGCATTTCGAGCTCTATGTCTATCCGGCCGGGGTCTGGCGTGGCGGAGCATTTATGTTTCATTTTCAACTGGGTCGCGCTCGGGGCAAAAGGTGTGTACATGAGAGTTATTCATAACACGTGAGATGATAGATCCCGCTGTAGCAGTATCGGGATTGTTATTCGGCGGCAGAGGCAAAGAAATGAATTTGTCTGGGCTATGATAGTAATGTCTTGTCAAAGAGGGATCTGTTGCGGTGCTGGTATTTCATCTGGTCCTACCGGTAGCACATGTAGGTACCCGGACCTCTTCAAGTGGGCCAAGGGTATCATCCCGCAAGGCAATAAGCCTTGACTCAAGCGTTGTGTAAGTTTTATCATACCCCTGTGTGCTATAGTATCATAACATAGTTCTACCAAGTATGCACAGCTGTTGAGAGGTATTGGGAGTGAACAGGTGGAAGCCAGCGGTATCAAGGGTTTCCAAGAAGAGAGTGGTCTCAAGGCCAAGCAGACAGCTTGTATTTCTTCCTGGAAAAAGAGAAGAAGATTAAGAGAGAAGAAGAAAGAGAAGAAAAGAGAGGAGGAAAAAGTGGGAGCGTAGAAGAAGTAGTAGTGGGAACAGGGGGTGACGCAAGCAGTCACGAGGTGTCACTCATGGGTAGGAACAGAGAATGTTAGAGCACGATCGTGACCACAATTTCCAACAGCAGCGTATCTTGAAACTGACCACCAGCGCTCACTCGTGGAATCTTGAAAAGAGAGCAAATCCCCTCGGCGTATAAAAAGCACACCCCGATGGAGGCGGCGCCCGATATCCCAACACAACAACTGCGGCTAAAGGGAAAAGGAAAAGAACGACAACACGAAACTTTTCATTATCTATCATAACCGGAGGAGGAGGGAAAAAAAAAGGAAAAAAGATCGCACTCACAACACGAAAAAGGAAACATCCTCTATTAAAAAAATGTGTAGGAAAATCAAAACGGCATACTCTTGCAAACACTCAACCACTACAACTGAGTATTGCGTTGAAAACCCTTCTCCGTCCAGATTATTCCCCCCGCGCCCCACCTCCGGCTCTTCCGGATTCTCAACATCATCATGGGGAAGCTCGTTCCTGGTCATGCCTAACCATCCAGTCTCACCAACCCACGATACGAGCCATGAACACTACACCTCAGCTCTGATCTGCCGTGAGTGCGAGCGGGAGTTTCTCAAAGTCCATCTCACGGCGCTCAAGAGGCAAGTAGATAGTCTCGGCGTTAGACGGAACAGTGAGTCCAAGGATGACGTTACCATTTTGAGCAGGAAAGGAATCATTACTAGCCCACCACCGGCAGAGAGGGGGTCCATACTTACCAGGCGTGGAATCAAGGGGGGGAAGCGGTTCACCCTTGCGTCTCAGTCCACTGGACCGCTGTTGCGACCTGTGAGCGGGGGAGTACTTTGGGATTTCGGTCATGCGTTTGACCAGGAGAAGGGTAGAAGGCAATTTATTCTCCCTCAAGGAGGGAATACGTTGGGGTTAGGACAGCCGTAGTTTGGTTGTTACAATGCGGTTAGCAGGTATTTGGGTAGCTTGGGGAAGGTGAGCAGACTGGAGTGTTTGGGGGAGGAGATATTGGAAAGGTTGGACGGAAAGGTCTTCAGGGAAGAAAGGTCTGAGAGGCAGACAGTCCTTTGAGCGTTATGGAGGTGGGTAATTTTTTACACCGCGTATGGGCCGGAGGAGAGAACTAATGGGTGACTAGTTTTTTCTCCTTCCTTCTATTCATCGGTGGACGGGTGAGTCTTCTTAAGTAGTACCAATTGAACCAATAGCCACTGAGCCGGATGAGTTGATGGCAGAGGATACTGTTTCAATGATCGACATAATAAATTACAGTTATTTTCCATAGAGATATGCTTGCAAAACTAACGACCAGCCGAAACTATCAGTGGTGCTGATAACGGTCGGTAAACATGGCGTGTACGATATCTCTCTAGAACTCAATATTAAGTAGCAGGGAGATCTTTCCTACGCTCATCCACTCTCCTTTAGACTCCCTTGATCAAGGTTTCTGTATCAATGCGTCCGCTACAAGTTTGCGGCTAAGCCGCACAAAATTCTGGTGGGTTGATTGGAGAAGGTGCGCATCTGCCCGGCCGGGCTGGGAATTAACTGAGGTCCCGGTTTTCATCAACTCCCGGGAATTCCAACACTGGATACTCTCCCTAGTGTTTCATCCTCACGGGATCCTAGGCATCAAAGAGAAACGTCCCGAGCTCTTGGTAGTAATATCAACCCTTTCAATGTGTCTAAAGCGCCAAATCACTTTGCTACTGTCCGTGAACGGTCGGAAATCCAGGAGTGACAATCGCTACTAGAGCCACGAATACCGCACCGAGATAAATAACATCAAGAACTGGTTCCTGCGGGGATTAGGATTTAGGAACCGGTGCGGTGGTAGTCGAGAAGGTACTCGTGCCAAGGTTGCAGCTAGAGCGCTGCAACCCCCAAAAATTCGCTGGCTCAGTTTTTGGTGGCACTCATCCTGAGTGCCCAACAGCTCAATGCCACTGGACAGCTCAATGTCATTTTTGTGGCTCAACATCACTTTTGTGGCTCAATACTATTATTGTGGCTCAACATCATTCTTGTTATTCACAACCATTCATGTTACTCAATATACTGTAATCTTCACAACTTTATATAGTTTATTATTTTAAGTTTAATATATTTTAAAAGTATTTTGTAATAAAATCAAGTCACTAGCAGGTGCAAAAAAAGGTGTGCTCTCCATATATCTGAGGCTTATCAGATATTAAAGAGGAAAGAACAGTTACAGGTTGAAAGTTAAGCAACAACTAAGAAGAACCCAAAATGCAACAGACAGAGCTGAAAAGTAGCATATAAGCCACTATTGAATGAGTTTAAGATATATGTCAAACAAAGAGACAGAACCAAAAAATAGAATTAGAAAATATCAAAACCAATAGTGGTGTGAGTTAGGCAATAGATGCAATTGAGAAAAATTAATGTATATTAGAAGTAACTTGAATACCAGCATACTACCTATAATCAAATTACAATAAAATTTAATATTATATTATATTTTACTATCAAGGTATTTTGAATTAAATATTTCTATTAAGTAACAGGTTATATCTGAGTAACATGAATGATATAAAGTAAAAAAATTGTGTGGAGCCACAATAATAGTATTAAGCCACAAAAGTGATGTTAAGCCACAAAAATGACATTGAGCTGTCCAGTGACATTGAGCTGTCAGGCACTCAGGATGAGTGCCACCAAAAACTGAGCCAGTGAATTTTTGGGGGTTGCAGCACCCTAGCTGCAACCTTGGCACGAGTATCTCCTAACCAGACTTCTTTTTGTTCTAGCGATCCTAGGGTTAGTAAAGCCCACATCAAGGAATGGACGCGCCCATTAAGGGGGGAAGGAAACTTTCACAAGCATCCACGACAGCTCCCCAGTAGCAGGCGCCTCGCCCCACAGGACAAGACAAGATGCGGTAACTATCTGCTTCCACCCCTCCCTTTCTTCCCAGGAGCACCCCGGCGAATATGTTGGCAGCCTACTGAAGCAGGTAGTTAGTGGTATCAGAAGATCCTCTAAGAGATACCCCAATTTTTTGAGAAGCCTGGAGAGGTTATTGACACCGGAGATAGCGCTTCCCTAAAACCGTGAAGATATCGAAACCATTACATTGCTAGAGACTAGGCTTACGTGTGTGGATGTCCTGGACGAATACAAAGGGCATTGACCCCAACATTCCGGGTTCACTCGGAGAAGTTCTGCAGAAGCCGTTAGGAACGTGGTTCTGTAACTTGGAGACAAATACGGTCTAACAAGCCAAGAAGCAGACATACTGCTACAGTAATAATGACTAGAAAGAACAATCATAGTGCCTCCTACAGAGAGCGTCAGTGGAAAATGAGATAGGGAATGAAGATGGTAACACAATGAAATGTAAGAAATCTACCCTAACCCCGCAACCCAAGCGATTCTAACCTGAATCTAGTATCCCTTACCTATGTCTGCTGCCGGACCGCCTTGTGCGCAATATCCCAAGTTTACACGATCCATATCCAGCAGGTATACGAGCCTTCCAAACATGAAAACTACCAAGCACTAGGCATGCGGCGAGTATGTTTCAACACTTCCCACCCCGGATTTTATGCAGAGTTCACCCGATAGCTGCAGGAACGTGCTTGACCTATGTAAATTCCCATCTGATCAATGACCTTCCCGGAAATTTCTCTTGATGCCCGGGGCAAGATCTTTCTCCAATACCCCCCCACAAACCGGGAAGCCAATCAGAAGTTAGAACTCTCGGACTGCCCAGCACCGCCTGGGCTAGGGTTTGTCATATACGGTTCCGCTGGTAGAGGGGACCCTAGACTTCATACATAGGCCGATGACGGAGCGGTATGATGCGGACCCAGCGATGAAAAATGAGTTTCACAGTTAATCTGAGGTAGGCTTTTTGTAGAGGTTGAGGCCAGCGATTCTGGTAATATTATCTCTCACTTAACACCATAACCTAAACCTGCTCTGCTCACCCCGACCCCCGCGTCCAGCTTTTACCTCAGTTTCCTCAGAACAGAAAATCACGTGTGCCAGGGCACACCAAACCATTCTAGCCAGCATGCGAATCTAAAAGCTGAGTCAACCTGCCCTATTATGGAATAGTACCGAATCACGTGGGGAACGGCTGAGGGAACTAGGGTAACAAGCTTGTACTCGAGTAGACCCTCGTGGCAGTATCATCATCCGATTCGCCCGACAACCGATCCCGCAAGACCAGCACGACGTCGTCAACCCTAACCGCAACTAAGATACCGGTTCCGCGAATCTCTACGACCTCCGCCTACCAGTATTGTGGACATCGCCCATCCATCCGTCCGAATCGTCAATATTACCACGACCGGAAACGCTATCAAGCGCCAGCATCGCTGGAGAGAAAATCCACCCCCGCCCCTCTTTAGCGATCATAAAGAGAATAACAAACCCGCACTCCTTCCTCGCATCACCCTCACGGTCCTCCTTCCTCCTTTCTACACCACGAAAATGGAGGAAAGAAAAGGCCGCAAAAAAAAGGTCCTCCTAATGGGCAAGTCCGGCTCTGGAAAGTCCTCCATGCGCAGCATCGTATTTAGTAACTACGTCGCCAAGGACACCCGCCGGCTGGGGGCCACAATTGACGTTGAGCATTCGCATGTCCGATTCCTCGGCAACCTGACACTAAACCTCTGGGACTGCGGTGGCCAAGATGCCTTCATGGAAAACTATCTCGCCACCCAACGCGACCATGTGTTCCGCAATGTTGAGGTCCTGATATACGTATTCGACGTTGAGTCTCGCGAGTTCGAACGAGACTTGATTACCTACTCGTCATGTATTGAGGCGCTGAGGGACAATTCGAGTAATGCCAGGATATTCTGCTTGATACACAAGATGGACCTGGTGCAGACAGAGTTGCGAGAGAGGTTATTCAATGAGCGCCGGGATGTGCTAGAGTCTAGGAGTTTAGGACTATCGATTACCTGTTTCCAAACAAGTATCTGGGACGAAACTCTCTACAAAGCTTGGGCCGGCATAGTCTACACCCTCATCCCGAACCTCCCGCAATTAGAGACACACCTCCACCGCTTCGCCTCCATCGCTGACGCCGAGGAAGTGATCCTCTTCGAGCGCACGACATTCCTGGTAATTTCACATGTTACCCGCTCGTCAATCCCCAACCCCTTTCCCGACAGGTTTGAAAAGATATCGAATATCGTCAAACAGTTTAAGCAGAGTTGCTCTAAGATGGCGAGCAACTTTACTGCGTTTGAACTTCGGGCCGCTGGATTCTCAGCATTTATCGATGTGCTTACGCCGAATACCTATATTCTTGTGGTTATGCCGGCGGGCGCTGCTGAGAGCGCAACAACTCTAATGAATATCGCGGTCGCGAGGAAGCACTTTGAGAAGTTGGAGAGAGACAGTAGCGTTAGGGGGGTTGAGAAGTTGGAGAGAGATAGTAGCGTAAAGGGGGTTGAGACAGGGGGCGGTGGTGCAGGAGGCGTGGGGGAGAAGGATGGGATTTATGGAAACTAAAAAGACCTCACTGGAGGGGTTATGGGTGTTTTATTTTCCGCTTACTCTGGATTTGATTTGAATTGCTTTATTGGCATCTGCTCTAGATGCGCGGGCAGATAGGTGGAAGGGAGTCACTTTGTTACTTTTTTCTTTGTACAGGACATTTGCTTCCTTTCCTGCTGTCTCCTTTTCTTTCTTATTCGTTTCCTTCTCCCTTCTAACCTTGCATCCTGATTTATTGGATTCTATGATTGCTACCGTGAATCTGTACGGGATGAAATTGTAAGATAGTGAAACTGTTAGTAAGTAGGCAAGTAGGCGACGGATATATTACTGGAATCAAGGTATATGATGATTCACCTCCACCGCAGCTGCCACATCACAGTAACTGCACGACATTGCTAGTCGTGACCGTGCAGTGTTATTATTTCCCCGACTGGGAAACCAAACAGCTGGAGGCAGATATAACTTAACACGAGCGGCGGGGGCCAGACAGTCGTGCACAGTACCGTGCGTCGCAAGGTCCCCCCCTCCCCCTCCAGGGATCACACATATATACCACCAGAAACACCAATCTTAACACTGACCGGTACTAGAATGACAGAGTAAGAATACTGGTATAAGAAAGCACCGGGGGCACATTCTCCACCTTCTCTCCTAAAACTCTTATTGTGGAAATGAAATATCTCACCAGTTACAGTATCAGTAAGAGTGGGATAGTACAACCCATCAACTAACCAAATTGACAAGGCGGAAAAGATTAGATGATCACCGGTGCAGTACTATAAGCACTTGCTACCGTAGAAGCTGCATACTTGTACCATGGTTCAGGCACTCATCAATATTCCCAACACTAATTCCATTACCTAGCAATTCACTCGCATTGGAATAATCGAAGGACTCATGTAGAGTGCACAACTCACTCGAGACTCTTCTATCTTGCTTTATCCCCATAATCACCACCATATGCACGGGACCAAGGGGAAAGGAAATCAACCTGACCGGCACTAATAATAAGGCTTCTAAGTGTTTGATTATTTCTGGCGGGGATGCAGCGGATCAGTCAACCGTTACCAAGGCACACTCGGAAACGGGGATCAGCTACTCGTGGCCTAGCCTAACTTAATCACTAAAACACAAGAACCGTGTTCTAGCGGGTGTTTGTGATGCTAAAATGTAGAAACACGAGGGGAGTGCGTTAAGAAAGAAAGAATGAGAGGCCAGTGGCACAGACAGGCAGGGAGTGCTAAGTATCTCAGCAATTGGGTGGGATTAACCCATCATAAGAGGCCGAGCCCAATCCGTACAGCGGTCTAATTTACTATTTGGGATGAGTAGTCACTATATATCACTCGGGAACTGGTATTTTATTATATGGTTGGCTTATCGCACGAAGCTCCCGGACTCGCGGTTCCAGGCTTGAATATCGACCAGCTGGCCCACCCTCACCAAGTCGATCACAATTTGGGGGCACCATACCATTTAGAGAGCCAGTGAATGTTAGCTTTGCTGGATCCCTAGCAACAGGTTAACAATGTCTGTCTGTCCCAGCCGGTGCACCCCGATTCGGGGATCCATGCAAAAGTATCTATTCTCCTATCATACCAGGAAATTGATTTTCTCATAATGCCCGTCAGCACCGCCCACAATTCCTTGATGAACAAAGTCCACCGCCTGGTGTAGGTTTTACCGACCCTGGATCAAAATAGCAAGGGAAAGTCCGATTTAGCTTCTAGCTTATTTGCTGCGAGAGGTAGTCCTCGACGATCCGAACATCGCATCTCGGTGCGGCACTTCCATGGTGATGGTTGGGCCCTGCGCCCAATCCAACTCTTTCCAACAGAGCCCCCCCCCCAGGCACTGAATTCTAGATCCTGTTTGCCATGCATGGATTACACCCCGTGCCGGTGATTCCGAAAGCACGACGGTCAATAATTCAGTAGTGTGGTGACTGTGGCTTGCCTTCCGTTGCTCACTCGGAGGCGTATGGCCCAAAGTGTATACGGTATATAGAACGCACCCCCTCAGTGCCTAAGTGCGTGCACCCATGCAATGACTTTATTCGCGAAGGGTTGATGGTTGCAAATGCCAACAAAGAATTTTGGAGGTTGTGTGTTTGGCCGGTCCCATATTCGGTTTTAATGCTCCACGAACACTCCGGAATCCCATAGGATATCGTGAAAAGTTTCGGACGTTCCACCCCCCCTCCTATGATATAAGCCCGGTTCATAATTATAGGATGATATGCTGAGTTTTATGTTAACCACAAAAAGAAGAGATCGGGCTGGCCGAGAATTGACGAACTTTCAACTTCCAAAACCCTTCTTGGGTATTTATTACCATTTACCCCGAGCAAACGCGGGCGTTGCACGGGTGTGCCCACCGCGGGGCACGTTCTGTACGCTTTGCACCATATCATATCATGCCGTGGGATATACTTCTTCATTTGGCTCACGGTATCTAACGCCCCCCAATACCACAACCAATCATATCAACAGAAACCCCAAATTACAGGTTCCTCTATTACTCATATTACTATTAAAGCCTTTTAAAAAGAAAAGAATAAAACAGGGGAACTCCAAAACACTGCATAGCATCTCATAGGTATCATACATGAGCTGTACTCGTACATTACACACACACAAACGCCGTCCACACCACACCATACCATAGGGTATATATACTTATACATGCATAATCAACCCCCTGACCCAACTTAAAATTATCTACTCCCCAGAAATCAGCTTTCCCAAGATCAAGCTCTGAATAACCCACTCGTCATCGACAACCCTAACGTTCCTTCCAGCATGGCGTAATAACCTCTCGGCGTGCTTCCTTTCTTTCGCGTCGATATATACAAACTTGCGCGTCCCACCACTGTCGCCTGCTTCATCCGCCTGCTTCTCCGCGTCCTCCTTATCGAGTCCGCCATCATGTTTCGATAGTACGCCAAGAGCGGCTTCCACAGTCTGCACGACGAAAACTTTTCCCGCACCCATGGCGTACGCCAGGAATAAATATGGCTTCTGCATGACATCACACAATGGATTAGCACTCACGTATCCTGAAAAGAAAAGAGAAAAGGCAAGTATGGGGGAGCAAATAAAAGAGGGGACACAAACCCACCGCCCAACCCCCGCACCCCCCTTGCCCATAACCACAACCACCTGTCCGCCAAGTAACAACCTCCGCCTCACCTCCACCATGCCCAGAAACCTCGCCTCCCGCGCAGGCACGTACTCCATAACTCTAGACCTGACCGCGCCAGCAAGGTATGCACTCTCACCTGCGGGCAATAGATAGGTATCCCAGTCTAGTAATCGCCGCACCCTGACACAGTCCTCGACCCACCGGGGAGCGAGGCACGGGATCCCCAGGGCGAGGGCTTGTAAAAACTTTACGCGGCGAGAGTGCTTGTTAGTTATCACGCAGGTGAAGCCAACACATGCCGATTCTGCTTTCGGTGTTAGGCCGCCGCCAGCGGCGGCGGTGGTTTCTTGGTGGAAGAGGTGTTCAAAGTCGTTGCCAACGAGGCGGCCACCGTTGCTGGTGATCTTATGCGTGACAGTGCGTTTCTCGGATTCGTTCTCGCCGAAACTTAGCGCGAAGAGCATGTTGAAGAATAGGCCGCCGGTCGGTTTGACAGAGGTTGTGGTGGTGGTGATAGGGGTTGCTCGGCGATTCCGGGATGGGGTATTTGGGGTGGTGATTGTTTGGTTGGTGCCGTCGGCGGTGGGATCAGCGATACATGGTGTCGCGGTTCTTAGCGGGAGGATTTGACTGCGGTGGGGCATGTCTTTATATGGACGTCCGGAGAATTGCGTCCAAAGTGTTCGGTTTAAGTAGATTTTCGTCAAGGGAATTTCGGTGACTTCGCCTTCAGTCGTGCTATTTGAAGTTGGTGTCATCCTAGGCTTGACTACGACTATTGAGTGACCTCTAATGTCTGTGAGACTTCGGCCACCGACGCGGTCGTGTGTATCGGGCTCTTCAGCGGACTTGTTTAGACCTACGACTGTCCAGACGGCTTTCTTCATTGATGGTTGGTCCACTTTCACCATGTCCCCAATTCGGAGATCTAGGCTCCGAACTTCCTTATCAAGAACATCCTCGGTGCCATCATCGAATACTACTTTGATAGAGCCCTTTGAATCGATGCTTAACACTGTTGCGGGGTGATAACACATCTTGACATCTTTAAACAGGGCAAACACCCTTTCTGGCGAAACTAGACTCGAGTCAACTATTGGTGCCACAGACCCAGCAACCGAAAACGCAGGATTATTGCTCTCAAGCTCGTCCTCTGACTCCGGTGCGGCCATCGGTGTCGGTGAGTCCATCGCTGCTCCTGCCAAGGAGCCCCTTAGGGATGTCGAGGACCTAGTCTTCCTTGCTGTTGCACGCGGCTGATTATTTGATCCTCTCCCAGTAGACTTCCGCGGCGCTTTGCCCCTCTTCGTCGTAGTGGTGGTAGTAGACTTGGTAGACTTCGCAGATTGTGACTTTTCCTTAGTGCCGCTAGCAGTTTTCTTCCGCCTAGACTCCGAGACCCCATGAGTGACTTCTTTATCTCCACCCAAGGAAGGCCTAGCCCTTTTGGGCGGCGGGGGTTCCACCGCGGATTGTCCTTGCGCCGGTACCGGATCCCGTGCGGCATCACTGCCGACACCCGCCACTAACTCAGCCATGTCAACATCATCTGGTTCGGGCCGACTGCTGAGTAACGAGTTGCTATTCTCCAATGTTGCAAAGCCCTTCATGGCAGTATCACCAAGGCTTCTACCATCGTCAGGTGGAGAATGGGGAACAACGTCGCTCCCCCAATCCACACACCGTGCCTGCCTCTCAGTCGAACTCCTCTTCCGCTTCCCTCGGACAGGAGACTCCTGAATAGACTTCCTCATATTTTCCCGGGAGGTATGCAAACCGATGTTATTCGGTGGTGCGGACTGTGAGGCATTCGGTGGCATGGGAGATAACATACCATCTCGATCCCACGGACTAGTCTCCGGGATCGTCGTAGCACCTTGCTTCATTCTTCTAAAGTTACTAGCACGTGATGGAAATGGTGTTATTAAGGCGGCGGGCGGCGAGCTTTGCTGGGCGCTGACAGCTGAACTTAAAAGTGTAGAAGGCAGAGGAGTTAAACTGCTCGTAGGCAATAGCAGCCCACTGCTGGGCTCTTCGAGGTTCGATGTTTCTAGCACCAATTCCGGCCCAGATTTCGTATTAGCACCTCGCTTTGCTTGCGTAGTGTCCGGCGACGGGATGTTGAAAGGGGGGAGATTCTTCAGTGAAGTTTTGGCCATGCCAGTTCCTTGTTGGTTCGAGCTCGGGATCGGCGGTTGGGAGTCCGCAATTGTCGAAGGGAGCATAACTTGATGCCGGAGAGACGGCATATCCGCAGGGGGTTGTTGAGGAGGAGCTGAGGGGGTAGGCCTTGCTCTTCTAACTACCCGCAATGGCTCTACGTTGTGGATGCTCTCCCAATCGGATACAGGATCTGGTTGGGTCTGCAGTACGGTTGGCGTAGGAAGATCTGGCGACTCTTTTGGTGAGGAAGTTGTCGCTATATGAGTATCAGGCAGCAACTTGACAGATTTGGGTGGTACTGAGGATCCCCTAGATCCCATTGGCATACGTGGGCCTGGTTTAGGACTCACACGCTTCCTTCTAGAGTTCTGTCGTACCGGTGGCACAATCCCCTCTTCTTCCTCATCACCTGTTTCGTCATCAGGGTCTGTGGGGGAACCCTCCCGAAACTCCCGCACTTTGGCGGATATCTCCGCTCGCCTCTTGTCCGCCTTCCCCGACAGCTCCTCCCGAGATTTGGGCCGCCTCTCCAATAAACTACTCTTCGGAATCTTAGCCAACGACGCCACCTTCTTGACCTCCTCAATCCCCTTCTTCTGTGCCATAGCAGCCTTCCTCTTCCTCTCATCTTCAGAAGAAATCATGCCATCATCAGACTCATTCACCTTCACCTTCTCCGAATCGGGCTGCGTATGTCTTTGGGTCACCGGCAACGGCGAATTGAACACAACGGGAGAACTAGACTCCCCTCCTCCGCCCCCTTTCCTCTTAGTCGCTCGGCCTACTCTCGCATTCCTCTTCCTGGCATTCCCCTCCCTTGCCTCCTGTGATTCTTGGATAGACACGTAGACCTCGGCTGGGCTCGGTTGACTCTTCGACGACCTTGGTTTCCTAACAGTGGTAGTCATTCGCTGGGGCAGATGGGGGGGTTGGTTCCGAGGGCGTGCCGAGTAGGACGACAGTCTAGACACCGAGTCCGCCATGACCTTCTCCAATTGCGCTTTTGATGGCGTCGGCGGAAGTGACGCTCCACCGGTCGGTGGCCTGACAGGAGAAGAAGTATTTTCAAACATCTGCGACAAACTCAATCCAGTATGCAACCTGCTTCCTAGCCCCCCACTTGCTCCAACCGCCTCACCACTTGCTCCAAACCCGACATGCGCGAGCGGATTATACCCAGGTCCTGGCGTAGGGGTAGTCTTCTTCACCGGCGACGAAGAATTATTGCTATTCGGATTTCGAGGAGTATCGAACCTGCTATTCTCCGGAAAATAAGTAGTTCTTAAATCTGGGTCATCATCCAACTGAGTTTCCCCCTCTTCTTCCTCCTCCCCATACTCGTTACACCTGGTATTCGTTACCGCCATTGGCTCGGGACTATTCGCAACAAGGACTTCTGCTCTCTCGTCCTCCCCCTCCTCCTCCTCCTCCTCCTCATAGTCCCCAAATATCTCCGGCCCATCAACCTGCGTCTCCCCGAGGTCTATTTGAGAATAACCAAGATCCAATCGTAAATTTCCAGTGCGATCGTGACTAAACGTTGTATTCGCACTCGCTCTGAAAGGCGTATCAACTAGCGAGAACTTCCCTCCGCCGCCCGCCTCCGGTGTATCTATCAACAGCCCCCGTGGTGGCGGCGCTGGTACTGGGGAAGAACTGAGCACTTGAGTAGTTGGGATCGAAGAAGAATCGTCATGGCCTTTCTGTGCCATTGTTAGAATCGAGCTCCCGTGAGGGTGGCGGGAGGTGGTGAGTGGGAGTAGAGATAAACACGTACGCAAAGCAAGCCCTGCAACCGACCGATATCCAGCGTGTCAGAATCATCTGGTGTTGGAGGCATCATTCAGGGAGTTATTCATGATAGGTCCGAGAGTCCGTGGTGCCCTCTTTTGTAATATGATACGCTGGTTGGACTCGGGGGTGGATTGGAGAGGCGGTGTAAGTTAAGGTTAGCAACAATGCGGCGAACGTTTTTTTCCGCAAGACACTGAGAATGCCCTTTCGGGAAGCGACAAGGATTGAAATGCCATGGCAACCTGCAACCATTTCACCACAGATTCTATGCGGATACCGAAACCGTACCCTGATGCCGGTAGCAGCAAGCAGATAGCCAAACCCGATGCGGGGCCTTGACCGACACCCAAACAATCGCACGATTGTTGAATTTTGTATGTGGTGGGCATGATAACAATAACTCTGTACGAAAAATACCATAATATTATTAAATATATATTGTGTGCACGCTAAGTAAGGAGGAAGGAGGTATGAAGGCAGGTCGGTAGGAATCATTCCTGTCCTTAATTGACCGTAAAACAGCTGGAAAGATGCTGTACAGTGTACAGCATCTTTTTGGTAAGAAGTCCTAAAGTTCCTATTAAACCAATAAGAAATATCCATGTAAACCTGTCACGAAACATCAACATATATATACGTAATACATACTCTAGCCATACCAATATTTGTAATAGGTAATTCGAAATAGCACCGAGTAGAGAAGTATATGGTATCATCAAAGAAAATATACAAATGAATCGGAAATTCCAATAATGATTTTATCTTGCTGGAAGGGATCACATTTAATCTTGATTACCTCCAAATACTATGTGGAACGCCAGTCTCGAAGACGCTTGACTTGTGGGCAAAGAGCCATGACTATCATGAGAAAAAAAATGTATGATAGTCATCCTAGATACGGTATTCCATCAACCCTACAGTAGACGGAATGGTTCTGGGAGCTATTAGATGCACAAGAGGCGGCCGATAAGCAAATCTTATTAGAGGAGAACACCTTTTTTCTTGGCTTTAGAAGGCATCACAGCTGTGTGGGGCATACCAGGTGATCGCCCAAATCCGAGAGGGCGCTCCTGAGAGTTCTCCGGGCTCCTTTCTCGCCCGTGCACACCGGGAGCTGCGGAGGGGAGGGGTCTGCCGTATCGCGCGGTGCAGTACCGTACCCGTCATTGGCCGTCAACCCTTCGAGCTCACTTGAACCTCCTTGTTCGAGGGAGCGCGTGAGACGCGCTAATAGCCCTCGGAACGGGGGCCGTGCTTAACCAACCCCATCATACGGTGTGCCTATACTGTAACTTAGTGTTAAAGTTTGTGGCAAGTAAGTGGGCAGTACAGTACTCGTACAGATAGCTTTCTGTACGGGTAATTGAATGGATGCTTCGTGTCATGGTGGAATGGCTAATTCCTGCCGTGGGGAAGGAAGTTTGGAGGGTACTGGCATTATATCTACTTTAAGAGGTTAGTATCAAGTTCGTGTCCACACGAAAGGCGGTACAGGTACGCACACACTTGTGGACTACCACTAGAGTGGATGGAACAAGGTAAATTTATAAAAGCAAGTCTTGGTGCCACGGAAACTGGACTACATGTTTCCATTCCAAGAGGGAAGATTGAGTTCTGATGCTTAACATCAGCTGCGCTCAGCTTTTATCTTATCTGGTATGCTAGCAGCACTATTGGGACTGTTGATCACTCGCCGACGGCATCACCGCTTGGATACCGAGAGAGTTTACTCCCCGCTTGCTATCACCAAAGCTCTTCCATACCTCGAAACAGGGGGGACTCACCGCGCACTACAGGTTAAAAACATGTGACCATAAGATCCTGGGGACGCGTCTGCAGCTCCTTAAATTTTTGGCCGGTTCTAATCTTATGGCCCGTATTGAATTCGGATGAAGTGCGTTCGAGATGAATTTCCGTGCCAAGAGGGTACAGTACTCCAGTACGGTACCGTACAAGTACAAGTGCCAGGGGAGATGTTTTCGTACAAGACAGGGATTATTTTGCGGGTTAACCTAAATTAACTGTGCGAAAACATTATCCCCGGCACTTGTACAAGTATAGGACCGGGACCGCTGGTGAAACATGGTTGTATCAACATTGCTTATTTGAGAAGACCAAACCCTGCTTTTGTTGGGGGCTGACCATAATACCAGTACTTGTATTTCCATCGGCATCCATCTGACTCGGCCCGACGATAGCGGGCTCCAAAAAGGGAGGTCGTGACGGGTACCACCAGCATCCGTCCATGAATCATGGATAACAGCTACGAACGAAGCCAGTTCAGGAATAACGATAGCAATTTCAACATCACCACAAACAATTACACGACTATCGGCAACGAGGAATTGCGGATGCTGTCATGGATATCGCCATTAGAGTCATGGAAGAGGCACAGTGATGTGGCTCATACTCATGCCAAAGGCGTATGAGAGCGGGTATTGCAGAGCTGCGAGTTTCGAGCATGGCGACAGGGTGGGAAATGACCGGTCAGTTGGTAGGGTTCTGTTTGGTCGTGGTGCCCCAGGCGCAGGAAAGACCTTTATTTGGTAGGATTACTAATCCTCCAAACACCCAAATCACTACTTACCTGATACTAGTTCCTTAGTTACTGATACATTATGTGATGGTATCGAGGGTGAGAATGCTGCAGTGGGTTGTCTGTACTGCGATTACCGTGGCCAGAAAGAGAAAACGGTAGAGGTCATGATTGGGAGTCTCCTCCGGCAGTTTGTGATGGGGCTGCCGGAAATCCCGGAAGCGATTAAACGGGCCTTTCGGGCGACGAAGACCCAACTTGGGGGACAGGCGCCAGAACTTACGAAGATCATTGAACTATTTCCCGCAGTATTGGAATTCTTCCAGCAGGCGTTCGTCTGTGTCGACGCACTGGATGGATTTGCAGCGGAGCACAGAGCAAGGGTGCTGCGCTCCCTGCGCCAGATCTTGGAGAAATCACCAAGGATGAGATTGTTTCTCACCGCAAGGCCCCATATCCAACCGGATCTAGAACGCAATATCCCACTGGGTATGGAGACCATCAAGATACAACCTCTCCTTAGTGATATCGAAAAGTTTTTGGCGACAAAACTGGATACCGATCCACATTCTAGCGCGATGGACGATAGCCTTAGGTTCGAAGTATTGACAAAAATTCCTAGGGAATCTTCCGAAATGTAAGCACAGCTGAATACAATCGCATACCCATTGCTAACGGCAATATGAAGTTTCCTTTTAGTCACGTTACAGATAGATTCGATACTAGGAGAGGTCACAATGGGTGGAAGGAGAAGGAGGCTCCATGAAATGACAAATGGCTTGGGTGATGCTTACACAGCTACTCTGGAGAGAATAGAAAGGCAGCGCGGAGCCCTTGCGAGGATTGGAATTTCTTCCTTGATGTGGATTTCATTGGTGGAACGACCCTTGCTCATCGATGAGCTGTGTCCTGCTCTAGCAATGGAGGTTGAATCTCCCAATTACGATGCAGAAATGGTCCCTCCAATGGATACTGTTGTAACATCCTGTATGGGCCTAGTCACCATTGACCATGCATCATCAACAGTCCGTCTAGTACATGCTACTTTACAGGAATATCTGCGCGGCCATCAGGACGATCTCTTTCGGAATCCCCATGCCGCTATAGCCGAAGTTTGCTTGAGCTATCTGGGCATTCAACCAGTTCGGGAGCTCCCGTCCGATCTGAGGACTGCACCATGTGCGTTCCCGTTTCTTGTCTATGCCTCTTGCCACTGGGGCGCCCATGCGCGGAAAAAGCTTACAGCGTCTGTGAAACGTCTTGCACTTGGTATTCTGGGCCACTAACCTCAACATGCGGTTGCAAGTATCCTTTTGTCTAACGGAGGAGCCCCGCGGTACTTGTTGCGTAGTTCTGCAGGATTTAGTCAACTGCACTGTGTCGCATATTTTGGAATTGATGGGCTTTTGGAGGCACTCTCGAGCATAGAGGTGGGAAAGTTTGAACCAAATGGATCAGTGGGGCCGCACACCTCTGATTTTGGCTGCTTGGAAGGGGAATGAAGGGCATAAGGATCCTACTAAGCCACGCCAATGTTAACCCCAACTCACAAGATGAGAGTAACCGGACACCACTCCTCCAAGCTTCTGCAAATGGCCAGGAAGGAGTCGTAAGGATCTTGCTCGGCCGTACTGACGTCAACCCCAACTTACAGGATCGGAGTAGCCAGACACCACTCTCACAAGCTTCCGCGAATGGCTATGAAGGAGTCGTAGGGTCCCTACTAAACCGCGCTAATACCACCCCTAACTCACTAGTTCAGTATAACCGAATGCCACTCTTCCAGGCTTCTGCAAATGGCCATGAAAAAGTGGTAAAGATCCTGCTGAGTCACGCCGATATCGACCCCAATTCGGCAGACTGGCACGGCCGAACACCCCTCCTCCTAGCTTCTTCAAATGGTCATGAAGGAGTGGCAAGGATCTTACTGAGCCGCGCTGGTGGTGGCCCCGGCTCGGTAGGTCGCGGGAAGCGGACGCCACTCTTCCAAGCTTCCGCAAATGGCCATGAAGGGGTTGTGGAGAGCCTACTAAGCCGTCCTGATATCAACCCCAACTCACCAGATCTGCATGGCCGAACACCACTCTTTCTTGCCTCTGCAAATGGCCGTGAAGGAATGGTGTTGATCCTACTAGGACGCGCTGATGTCAGCCCCAACTCATCAGATCAGCGTGGTCGAACACCACTCTTTATAGCTACTGATAATGGCCATGAAGGAGTCGTAAGGATCCTACTGAGCTGCGCTGATACCAACCCCAACTTGGTGGGTCCCGGGGATCGAGCACCGCTCTTCCGAGTTTATGTAGATGGCCATGATGGTGCCCAGAGAAGCCCACTAAGCCGTTCCGATATCAACCCAACTCACCGGATTCGGATCGCATA